GGGGTCTAGGATGGACGTGGTGGGCCTCATTCCTCCAAGTATCTTGTCCACATCCTCGGGCTTCACAAATTGAAAAGAATCCATCAACTTTTCCAGAGACCCCCTTTCCACCTCACTTTCCCACTTTTTCAAACACTCCTTCCCATTCCAACTACTTACCGTTTCCAGTCCTTCTTTCCCACCCACTTCCCAAGTCAGTCTTTCCCACTTTTTATTATTCATATACACACAGCATTTTCCCCAAAATGTATATGTAGTTAAAATTGTACTCTATTATTATTACATTTATTATTTTACTTTATCGCTATTACTACATTTAGTATTTTACTCTATCACTGTTACTACATTTTTATTGTGCTTTAATTTATTTTTTTCTCTATTTATTATTATTCATACATTTATTTTTCTCTATTTATTATTATTACATTTATTATTTTACTCTATTTATTGTTCTTATTATTACATTTATTATTTTGCCCTATTTATTATTATTAATACATTTAATATTTTACCCTATTTATTATTATTGGAGGGATACGTAAGCACATTTACACTGAAGAAGGCTAGAATAATGATTTAATCAGAGTTGGACAGTTTTATCTTAAATTACAGTTTTATGCAATTATTCAGAAACATTTAACCTAGAGATGCCCCAATTAACGTAATTTTATTGGTATCTATTTTTATTCTTGAAATTTACCAATAGCTGCTGCATTTCCCAACCTCAGCTTATACTCAAGCCAATAAGTTTTCTCAGCTTTTGTGCTAAATTAGGTGCCTCGTCTTAAATTCGGTTGGCTTATACTCAAGTATATACGACATGTAGCTACTCCCCTGTGTGTTCTTTGATGGATACGCAGATGTCCACTTTCACTGAAGCTCTTTCCACATTCCATGCATTTATGTGGCTTCTCCCCTGTGTGGGTTCTTTGATGGATACGCAGAGTCACTCTGACTGAAGCTCTTTCCACATTCCATGCATTGATGTGGCTTCTCCCCTGTGTGGGTTCTTTGATGGATACGCAGATGTCCACTTCGACTGAAGCTCTTTCCACATTCCATGCATTTATGTGGCTTCTCCCCTGTGTGGGTTCTTTGATGGGTACGCAGATTTCCACTTTCACTGAAGCTCTTTCCACATTCCATGCATTTATGTGGCTTCTCCCCTGTGTGGGTCCTTTGATGGATACGCAGACTTTCACTGTGACTGAAGCTCTTTCCACATTCCATGCATTTATGTGGCTTCTCCCCTGTGTGGGTTCTTTGATGGATACGCAGAGTCCCACTTTCACTGAAGCTCTTTCCACATTCCATGCATGTATGTGGCTTCTCCCCTGTGTGGGTCCTTAGATGGATACGCAGATCCACTCTGACTGAAGCTCTTTCCACATTCCATGCATTTATGTGGCTTCTCCCCTGTGTGGGTTCTTTGATGGGATCGCAGCTGTCCACTCTGAATAAAGCTCTTTCCACATTCCATGCATGTATGTGACTTCTCTCCTGTGTGCGTCCTATGATGGATACGCAGATCTCCACTCCGACTGAAGCTCTTTCCACATTCCATGCATGTATGTGGCTTTTCCCCTGTGTGGATCCTTTGATGGTAACGCAGACTTTCACTGTGACTGAAGCCCTTTCCACATTCCATGCATGTATGTGGCTTCTCCCCTGTGTGGGTTCTTTGATGGGATCGCAGCTGTCCACTCTGAATAAAGCTCTTTCCACATTCCATGCATGTATGTGACTTCTCTCCTGTGTGCGTCCTATGATGGATACGCAGATCTCCACTCCGACTGAAGCTCTTTCCACATTCCATGCATGTATGTGGCTTCTCCCCTGTGTGGATCCTTTGATGGATACGCAGATCTCCACTCCGACTGAAGCTCTTTCCACATTCCATGCATTTATGTGGCTTCTCTCCTGTGTGGATCCTTTGATGCTTACGCAGAGTCCCACTTTCACTGAAGCTCTTTCCACATTCCATGCATTTATGTGGCTTCTCTCCTGTGTGTGTTCGTTGATGTGTAGTAAGAGAACTTCTCGCAGTGAAACATTTCCCACATTCCATACAGTTATGTCGCTTCTCCCCTGTGTGTGATTTTGACAAGGAATTGAGATTTTCCATTCTTTTACATTTATGATTCTAATATTATGCCAGAAGGTCACAGATATGTTCTCCTGATTTCCGCTTCTCAGTCTTTGTATTGCTCTAGTCCATTTGAACAAATAAATTACCAAGCCCCACTGTTTACAGCACAATCCTCCCTTTCCTCCTTGAATACACAGCTATGGAGCTTGAAATATAACTTCTCCAACTTATTTCTTGTGAGTGCTGTGTAATTTCATTTCTGAACTAAGACAAAGGGAAGTGTTCTTCACAAGGTTCATTCAGAGGTTACCTGCCAGAGAAATGAGAGGAAAATCTTATCAGGAGCAGAGCACAGAAACATCTCATTGAACAATAAGAACAATAGCTTGGTGCTGTAGCCAATGCCGGAGAAGAAGGGAGAAAGAGCGGTCCTATTGAGAAGAGCCTCTGCCTGCTGAGAAGAACTTTAACACTTGCCCAACAAAGAGCAAGCCCTGCAAAGAGGGGAGAGTGGCCCACGATTCTCTGCATGGGATTATTTGAACTGCAGTGTGTTCAGAGTGTCACCCCAACCTTTGCAAAGGAAGACTTCTAACAATACGGTCAGCACAGAAAGGACTCAGGTTGCAAAGCGTTTCCTGCCTGGTTCCCGCTTCCTCACATCCCAACTCAGACACCTGAGTGACCACCTGTATGGGCAGACCATCCCAAGTGGTCAGTCTTGTGAGAAAAATACTTCATTTCTTCCAACTGAAGCACATTTTTTCCTGACCCTCTCTTTCCCTGCAGTGCGATCCCTGCCCCACGTTTCTAAAGCGAGGAACCTGGAGACATGGAGAGCACATTCGGCCACAAAGTCCCTTGACATATTGCATTCTTACAAAACCTATACCACAAAGGTGTGAAACATCAGGCAGAACAAATACAAAGGAAAGAAACAAAGCAAACTTCTACACCAAGACCACAAAAACGGAGATAGGGATGCAGAAGCACAGGGTGGAAGGCACTCAGCCTAGCAGCAGGACACGAGAGAAGGGGGTAGAGGGAGGATGGGTGGACCTCCAGTGCTAAAGATGATGCTTCTGCTCTGGCTCCAGGGGTAGGAGGGAAGACATCAAGTTCACCGCATCCACTACAGGCCCCTCTTCGGCCCCCGGAGCCCTTTTGTAGGGGTTTCATGGAGGATCACCTGCCAGGTGAGCTGAGGCTGTCACCTGGGTAGTGCCAGGCTTGTTTCCTAAGCAGGACATTGCATAGCTTGTGCCACCAGGTAAATGGTCCCCCAATTCACCAGAGAGTTTATTGATCACATCCACAAGTACCATGGCTTTCTCCTCACAGTAAATGCAGATTGCGGGGCCCACTTTGCCTCCTAGTTTTGGGGAGGGCTCTTCAGTCTCCTGGGAGTACGGCCAGCTCTGAGTCCTGCTTGTTGCTTTAAATTATATCCTGTGTTGCTTTTATTGTTAGCAGAAAGCAGCATAGATGATGATGATGATGATGATGGGATAACTCTGTAAATTGCAAGGATGGGCCTTCTGTGCCTTCTGAATCCCTTTGGCCTTTGCTGACCCCTGCGACCACCCCCTTTGACCCCCGCATGGCCAGATTGGGCGCACAGAAGAGGCACCGGAGCAGGGCAAAGGGACGGGCAGAAGGCACGCAGGGGGACAAGGAGGGCAAAGGGGGATTGGAACCCTCTGCAATCTGTAGAGTTGCCTACAATTTTTGGACAATCAAGCCCCCCAAATATATTGTTCCTTTTGTGGTCAAACGCGCAATCCATTCTCTAGCGGCTGAACTGGACCTCCTCAAAAATGATATCCCTTCATCCAGATCAGTGGTTCTCCACCTTTCTCATGCCGTGACCCCTAAATACACTTCCTCATGTTGTGGAGACCCCCAACCATATTTTCGTTGCTATCTGGGCTCTCCTTCCTCCTCCTCTCCATTTGGGAACCTCCAATCACTGCTACTTTCTCCCAAACCCTTCCAGTATTTTCCGTTGGTCATGGGAGTTCTGCGTGCCAAGTCTGGTTCAGTTCCATGGTTGGTGGTGCTCAGAATGCTCTTTGATGGCAGGTAAACTATAAATCCAAGCCACTTCCACCTCCCAAATGTCAGGGTCTATTTTCCCCAAAGCTCTCCAGTAATTTCTGTTGGTCATGGGAGTTCTTCATACCGAGTTTGGTTCAGTTTAGTTGTTCAGAATGCTCTTTGATGGCAGGTCCAAGCAACTGTAACTCGCAAATGTCAAGGTCTATTTTCCCCAAACTTCACCATTCTGAACTCCACCAATGATGGAATTGAACCAAACGTGGCATACAGGACTTCCATGACAAACAGAAAACACTAGAAGTGTTTGGTGGGCATTGACCTTGAGTTTGGGAGTTGTAGTTCACCTGCATCCAGAGAGCCCTGTGGACTCAAACAAGGATGGATCTGGAGCAAACTTGGCACAAATACTCCATATTCCCAAATGTGAAGACAGATGGAGTTTGGGGGAAGTAGACCTTCACATTTGGGAGTTGTAGTTACTGGGATTTATAGTTCACCTACAATGAAAGAGCATTCTGAACCCTATGAACAACAGCATTGGGGCAAACTTCCCACACAGAACCCCCATACTTAAGGCCATCTAGTCCAACTCCCTTCACAAAGGCAAGAAAACGTAATCAAAGCCTTCCTGACAAAGAGCCATCCAGCCATAGATATAGATAGATATATGATTCACACACAGAGAGATATAGTATCATAGATTTGAAAAGGACCCCTAAAGAAGGAGAATTCCATGTTGCATGTTCCAGAGTGGGCAAACCAGACACTCCCCACATCAACACTGACAAAGAAACAGCAAGAAATACTGTTTATCCACAAGCGGAAAGAAATTGCATATATTAGAAACCAATACTTTCTAATTTATTTTCCAGATCTCCAGACTGGGCCACAGCAACGCCTGGCAGGGGACGGCTAGAGATTTGTCATTTTCTGGAACAGAGAGAAAAGAGGAAGGAAAGGAGGAAGGGATTTCAGCGTGGCCTTGGATCCAAGAGAAGTCAGCACAGCTCACTGATTTATCAAACATCCTCCCGAAGGATTGCCAAATAGAGGAGCTTGTTTGCAAAAGACATTCATTTGAAAACTTACCAAAATACAACATCGATGGGATAAAAGCGCTTAAAGAAGAAATCCAATGTTCAGTCGAAACCTCCTAAAATGGAGAAAGGAAAACAACGTAAGAAGATATTGGCTGAACGTACAGAAGTTATGAAATAATTGCAAATTCTGGATGGATTAATCCCTAGTGCCAACGATAAGCTGGATCAACTAAAGGCCATTTTGAAGAGATCTCTAGTGGCCCCCAAAGAAGGACAATGGAAACTGGGAAAGCAGGATGAGAAGGGGGGGCCAAGGAAGAAGGAAAAATGGAAGGTAAACAAAGGGTCACGAAGAAGGAATCCAGAGGGAACCCTGACGGAATGGACGCCAGGCAGAAGTCCAGCTGGAACAAGAGAGGCCTCCAGTCAAGGCACGAGAGGCCTGCCATTTCCCGCCCTGAAAGAGGGGACCGTGTGTCAGTCCAGTCAGGAGAATCTCTCGCTCAGCTCTGGGCTTCTCACTCACCGGCCTGAGAGAGGGAGGGAAAAGGACGAGATCTGATTGGAGGAGGGGAAGGTGGGGCTTGAATCACTCCATCCACTGATCAAGTACCAAAATTGAATAGAGCTGTTTGTTGTTGTTGTTGCATTTCTGCCCTGCCGTATCTTCCCAAAGGGACTCAAAGCGGCTTGACATGAAAGCATTAGTATGCAATTTA